CATTTTGTTCTGCCCAATAAAAGTTCTGTAGTATATAGATTTTTAAAGCTTGAATCAAAAGTTACTTCTTTTGTGGCAACTATCAAGACAGGCACGATTGTTACACGGAGAGACAGGTTTGTCTTGAATCACCCGTGGGGATATTAAACGAACACGTAGACCTGTCGCGATAAACAATAAATCAATTAATCGCACGATAAATGAAAATTATCTACCTCATTTTCATTTATCGGCTTTATCGTTTCTTCGTCTCTCTCTTTCTGCTGAAGACACTGGATGACAAAAGGCTCAACTCCGGTGTTCTTCACTGACCCCTTCCTTTCTCTCTTTCCTTTTAAAATCGGTTTTAACCGTCCAAAATCGCGTTTTTGGATCGTTAAAAGCAGCTAAGCTACGAGCTAAGCTAACAGGACGTCCTCGGGGAAAAAACCTCCGTCTTGTCGAAGCTCAAAAATTCACGGTTGAAACCCGTGCCTTCGTGTAAAAAGTTGTTTTTTTTTTAGCAAAGCATTTTTAACACAAAGCTTTGCTGAAAAAATCAAATCACAGCAAGCGTCCACCATTTTGAGAACCGAAAACAAGGAAGGAGAGACAGCCCACGTCACGTCAAGGGGCCTCCCTCCCATTTTTCTTAAAGAGACCCGCTGCTCGCGCCCTCACTATCCATCCTTCGGTTCAAGCGTCTTATACTGCCATCCAGTGGTCAAAAAAGGTACCACACACAAAAATTAACCAACATTTCTTCTTAACTTTGACAATAATTACTAATTATTGTCAAATTTCAAACAATATTATCGTTTATCGCAATAATTTCTGAGAATTAATCGCCCAGCAAAATTTGTTATCGTGACAGGTCTAGTTCAGCTGTGATGTTTTTGTCCGTAAACCGGTTTACAATATGAGACGCTGACTTGTATGCTTGTAATGAATTTAAATACTCACTATCATGTCTAGTTTAGAGTATTTTAGCAGAGAAATACACTAGTTTTTTACAAAATTACAAAAATAAAACATTGTTGATTGATGGATGAGCTGCACGATCGGCATGAAATTTTTACTTAAAATAAATAATTTTAAATTATTTAGCATCTGCTATACCTCTGTG